GTAGTGGGTGTCAGCAGCAGATTGATTAAGTTTTAACAAAACATTTTTTTTGTAAATGTATACTATAATTATCACCACTTAGAGTAAAATACTAACTGAGATGTGCCCTGCATTATCATTTTGTCTTTAGGTCCCGTCTGTTAGAGGGATCAGGATGAAATTATAGTGAATGATCAAGCAGTTACTTCTTGCAATAAATATTTCCAAAGTCTCCAGAAAGCTTCTTGAGTGCTTTTACGAACCGATTTCTGCAGTGTACGATTTTCAAATATTAATGTCCAGGGTGAGATTTTTTTGGGTTTGTTTTCTTTACTATAGGTAGTGGATGAGGTAGAAATTAATTTGCTGGTATATTTGGAGATTTGAAGGCAGGGGCGGATCTAGAGGGGTGGCATGGGGTGGCAGCTGGCACCACTAAAAGACACCTGGCAACCCCAGTTTGGTGTCAGATGCTGTCAAATGTAACACATTTATTTAGATAAGATAAAAATAATAAGATTCAAGGCTTAGGTTCAATGAAAACAGACATGTATTTGGAAAAATGTCTGATGCCACCTTTAGATATTCCTATTTAATGCTTTACTAATGTACCACAATAATGTTTTTGAGTTCAAATATCTTCATTTGGGTGCTTTTCCAAGCAAATATTGACATATGTGATTGTTTGTGATTAAATAAACAGATGTTTCATATATTTCCTTCTGGACACCCTGTGAATATTTCTCTAGGTCTGCCCCTGGATCTGAAGCTTGCTGATGATGATGATGATTGTTGTCTCCAACAAGGCATAGAGTTGGGTCAAGGGGAACACTCCAGCCAATAATGGTGAATAAAGTTGATGCAATCTGGTTTTAAAAAATGGCACATGGGGATAGTTGAATTAGGGAATGTACAGGGTTTCTCATTTGAATAGACATTATTCATAATCAAGTTCTGTATTTGGATAGGCTCTGCTGAGGCCCTGTGTTGAACTCCAGTTATAAGACCTCTATTATTTGTTGGGCTTACATGGTGAATATTCACATTACCTTCAATTAACTGACACACAGCAAGCCTGGGGCCCCAGTACTGCTATTCCAAGACACGAAAAACTGGTTGGTTTCTGGCTAATGGGCAATAAATATAGCTGCCATGTGTAGTCTGTGTTTGAGTGCGTTAACATGTGTACTAGTATCCTGGCAAGAGAACACTGAGCACCTTCGGGTGGTCTGCTAAAACTTTCTAATATGTAAGAAATAATTTAGGTAACAGGACTAGAATTGACATTACCTCTCATACTAACACTATGATTAAAATACAGAAAATAGAGTGAGAGATATTTCTTTTGGTCTTCAAATGATGCTACTTCTTGTTGATCATGTGACTGGTGAAATGTCCCACATGTTTAGAGGGGGGGATGTGTCAGGGTAATAGGACAGAGTGGAAACCTGGGGATGATAAGAAAATGTGTATTTTAACTAACAGGTAAGGACTTTCCAATGAGAAAACTTATTTTATATCTTGATTGCAGAGTCACACAATAATACAATAAAATAAGATCTGTGAAGTATTCTAATTCTTATATTTCATGGTGAAGTGTAGTGTTAGAGTGTGGACGGGATAAAATCCTATATTTTATTGTTGTAGGTAGTTTTTAGTAAGGTTTTCATGATGTATCTTCAAATTGGAATTAGAACAAAGTGCAGGACACTTTAAATAGTAATATAATTCATTTCATGCATATTTATGCATGTAAAGCATTGACTTTATATAAAATAATATATAATATGATGTAAAGCCATAGGGATGGAAAAGGCATTGATTCGGTGGAATGGAACATAACCAGGGTACTCCAAAAACCCTATCATAACAGGATACTAGTGCACATGTAAAACAGAAAAATTGTTATAGTCAAGCCCCCTTTTTAAGATGAGCTGTTTAAATGTTTAAAGTCCCCCTTGAGTCAGAAATCAGTGTTTGCTCTTGTTCGTACAGTGTGCTGTCCGAATGTTGTCTGTGCAGAGTTTGANNATGTTTTCACATTCATCTGCTGAAAGTGGAAAGTTTCTCTGTTTTTAGGGGCGGGGCCTACCAGCAGGATTTGTGACATCACAAATAGTTAGGAGTCAATGCGGTCCAGGATGTAACTTGTACAGTGTGATCTAACAGTGCACATCCACTGAGAACTTTACAGTGAAGTAGGAGACATCTTGTGCCCAGGAGGAAAACTTCTATTACATTTTTTTAAAAGTAGCATAAAGGGAACTTTATCTAAATTTCATTTTACAACCTTGCGTTGTAAATGATTATAAAAATAACCTTGAATCTTGAAAATGTTCATTGATTCTGGAATTTTTTATGAGGTAGAAGAAGTAGATTTAGAGTAGTAGATGGATTTTAATGTGGAAATTGTACTTTTTTTGCAAACAAAAACATACACGGACATATATTCTTCTTTCAAGAAGACTTTCTTGCAGATTTTAAGATTTTACTGACCACCTATAGAGCACTTTGCAGTTTAGCTCATAGCTACATTGCTGCATCCCAATGAGCTGGGGCGCAGCCTCAGATCCTCGGGGAGGGCTCTGCTGGCTATTCCAGAGTCCAGGATCAGGACCAAAGGCAACCATGCTTTTGCAGTCAGGGCCCCTCTGCTCTGGAACTCCCTGCCCAAGGATCTAAGTTAGTAATGAATCAGAATTTTAAAAAATGAAATCACTTCTTAAAACATATTCTTCTTGTATTTATTCTAGCAGGCTGCTTAATGTCTCACATTTTATTAGTATTATTGTTCTTATCATATAGGCACCTGGCTAATTTATTCTTTACTTTGGATATTTTACCTGTTTATACTATCGGCCCCTGTGTGATTAATTTTGAAATATGTTTTATCTGTTTGTTTTATTGGTAGTCTTTATTTTTACTGATGGGGTCTTCTACTCTCTTTTATTCTACCTTACCTGTATATGATCTTAACTGTTATGATTCAAATTTGTGTTGTTTTAATGCTGGTTCTGGCCATGTAAGGCACTTTGTTTTAGTGCTGTATCAATAATAATAATAATAATAATATATTAAAATATATTAATACATGTCTGGAGGGGGTCTTACGCCCTATTTTCTGGGGGGAACCATGACCACTTTAAACCATAAAGTATTTAATGTAACCTGGTTTCCTTTACCCTACTGCAAACTGGAATTATATTATTATTATTATTATTATTAAAGAATATTGTTGAGCCAAGTTAACAGTAGTAGCTCTGTGTCCAGTCCAGAGTCCTGTGTCTCTGTCTCCCCCTCCTGTCCTCAGCACCAGCCTGCGTTTCCCTCTTATTATTTTCCACTCAGTTTCTCGCAGTTTAAAATGGCGGCGTTCAGCAGCGCCGAGTCCCCACCGCCCGTCTTTAACGGAGACACCGCGGAGCGGGAGCCGGACAGGGACCGGGGCCTGGAGGAGCTGGGCGCCGGGTTGGACTCGTCCTGCACGTCGGGGATACCCGGAGGTCCGCAGGATGAGGAGGTAAGCGCCACCGCGGTCGGGGGGTAGCGGCTGCGAGCTCGGGCAAGGGGACACGGGCTCCGAGCGGAGGTAATTGGATGGAAATGTTCAGGAAACACCGGCTGCAACATGGATCGTGGTGGATGCAGCGCAGGGGGGGCGAGACGATGCACTAAATGCGGTCGGTTGGTCTGAGCGCTGGGGTTCATTCCGGCTTCCACCGAGCAGCCAAATGCGACAGACTGGTGTGAGCAGGAGGGGAAGGGTTTACTCGGCGGAGCCTGTGTTTATTTCGGGCCTGCTTTATTCCACTCGCTCTGGCTTCGTTTTCCAGGCTCACTGCAGCTGCAGCCTGTGCGCCAACACAGCGCCAACACAGCGTACACACCGCTGTTGACGCAACAAAGACACGCAATTCAATTAATGCGGCCGAAGTTTCATTTTCACCAATCCACTGAGGCTGAGTACCTCAAAGGGCTGGTGATGATGGTGATGGTGATGATGGTGATGGTGATGATGATGATGATGGAGGAGGTGGAGGCTAACGCAAGTCGTGCTTGTGTTTTTTTTTTTTAGAGGTGTAATTTAGCCGCACAGGCTACTTTCTTTACATTACAGCTGTACAGCCACACACACACACACACACACACACATACACAGGAGGAAGCGTCAGTAGTGTCTTCATCACTTCACTCACACTGACCGTGGAGCCGAGGCTGGACATTGTCTTCAGCCTGCAGGTCAGAGGCCTCAGTGCTGGACCATGACAGCAGGCTTCATCCCACTAACAGTCAGACAATATCATTTCTAAAGTTTGTAATATATACTATTACTAATTAGGGCTGTGTATTGCAAGAATGTGGCGATATGATGGGTATCGGCATTCAATATAATGCAATAACTATCAGTTATTCGTTTTGAGTCCATTTTTAAGGAAAAAAGTAAAAATTCTCAGCTTCTGTGTGAATATTTTTCAGCTTCAACTTGTGGATCACTGTCCTCTGTTAGGGCGGTGTATTGGTGAAATCTGGCGATACTATAGGCATCACGATGCAGGAGTTATGATTCAATATATCCTGACATATTTAATAATCGACTAATTATTTTGAGTCCTTTTTTAAGAAAAAAAAGGCCAAATTCTGTGATTTTAGCTTCTTTAATGTGAATATTTTCTTTAGTTTTTTATGACATTAAAATGAATATCTGTGGGTTGTGGACAAGACATTTTTTTGTCCACAACATTCTGCATGCTCACTATCCTCTTTGTTAGGGCCTGTTTATTGGTAAGAACCTGCCAATACGTATCCCGGTACAGTATAATTCATTACATTGCGATATATTGCAATAACTATTTTGATGATCGATTTTTCGTTTTCAGACATTTTTAAGTAAGAATGTCCAAAATCTGATTTCAGCTTCTCAAATTTTCTTTAGCCTTTATGTCAGTAAACTGAATATCTTTGGGTAGTGGGCAAAGCAAGACATTTGAGGACGTCCCCTTAGGCTTTAGGAAACAGTGGGCAACATTTTTCACCATTTTCTGACATTTATGGACAACAATAAATGAAAATAATCGTTGTTAAAACGTTGTTAGTTCGCCGACAGGCATTCGTGTCTATTTTAAGTAGAAATGTCCAAATTCTCTGATTTCAGCTTCTAAATTGTGAATATTTTCTTTTGTCTTTTATGACAGTAAACTGGATGTCTTTGGGTTGTGGACTAACATGATTGAGATGATGAGAAATTATCGACAGATTAATCGATAATATAAATAATAGTTATTTGCAGCCTTAGTGTTGGCTGACTAATCACAGGCATTTGTGTTGGAACATTCACTCTGCTCTGTTAGGGCGGCGTATTGGCAAGAATACCATACAATACGTATCACGATACAGGGGTTACGATTCAGTGTATTGTGATATATTGTGATACTGTAAGCAAGGTGATATATTATATCTTTTTAATTTAAATCTTTCATTATATAAAGAACACCATATGCATAAAACCTGTTTACAACACTGCTGTCTAGTGGTTGTGGGTTTAAACACAAAAATCAATAGTGTTTGATACAATATGACAAAACAAAAACGGGGATGGCTGCATTCTCTATTCCATACATAAAATGACAATGTCAATAATGCGGTGACCTGTTTCTCTGACTTATGTGGCCTGTGGCCCTATTTTAAGGTCCAAAAATTCTCAGCTCCTCAAGAGTTTTCTTATTAACATGTCAGTTTGACGGTGGCATAGTTTTGTAGTCTATTTTTAGGAGCTTGAGAGCTCCACAGGGATGATATAGAAATGCTGATGTTCCTACAAATGCTGATAAGACATTTTAAAAGGCACTCCAGTGATTTTACTCTTGAGGTTAAGATATCTTGACTTTTAGTCCCTAGCACATCCCAAACTACATAAACACTGCATCCCATAATGCCACACTCTTTTGCCTGTCAAACTCTGCAACCCCAATTTGTGACACTGACTTCTTTTATAAATTTCTCCTGACTGTTTTCAAGCTCATGACCTCATGAAATTGTGGTTGTAGTTTTGTTTTCAGAGAGGTCCAGTGTACCATGCCATCATCTTTTCAATTCAGCATTCAATTGTAACTCCAATTATTCAATTAAATCCAACATGTTAACCTGTTCCCAAACGTTTTTATGACAACCCCTGACTAAGTAACATATTTTATGGAGGGAAAATTTTTCTAATTATAGTTAATATATTATTATATATATATATGAATATATATAATGATAACAAATAACAGTAAGAACAACTGATAAACTGATACAATTCAAAATTCAATTCAATTTTATTTGTAATAGGACGCATTCATAACAGAAGTTAATCTCAAGGACACTTTTATCAAAATAGAGCAGGTCTAGAAAGACC